ATATATATATATATATATATATATATATATATATATATATATATATACGTATGTATGTTATACGATAACTGGCATTTGTGAATCGATTTTGATGATGTTTTTTTGTTGGAAAGAGGGTACGCGCACTTTCCGGTAACCGATTCCAATAAAACATGGCAAATTGTTGTAGGTAATTCTATGAATTTTTGAAGTCGGTTTATTTAATAAAAAAGTTATGCAAAATACCTTCACGTTAGTGTTGTTAGCGCAGACCACGGTTGTTAGTGACAACACCGCAACGATGTGGTGGAATAGGGGCATTGTTAGTAGGTAACGCCGGGATCGTAGGAAGGTATGCAGATATAAAATTGATTCATCGGATTTATTCCTGTTTTGTAATATTCGATTATATTCATTTGTCTATTTTAAATAACTTTGCTTGTTTTCGTGGTACGGACAATGACACATCAGACTACACATTTTTGTTCGAAAATCGCCTCCAGTGCAACAGAACAAGATACGTCAATGTGTAGCTTGATGTGCTGGCGTGTATACACAGTTACACACAAACACTATTTCAATATCTGTCTGATGATGGTAAGAAGGATGGTAACATCATATACTAATGACGTACGTTGCTAGTCAGTACTATAAAATGTTAAAAGGTTGCGCCGACTCTAGAGACAGGCGATGCAATTTCTAGAGTTTGAACAAGGTTCAAACTCCAAAGTGAAATACAAAATGTTTGGTCAATATTTTGAACTAAATCAATCTTGACTTACCAATAATAGCGTGTACTCGTACCGAGAGTTGTGTACGTAGAACCAGGGCATTTTTGCGGCTGTAATGAAAAATTATTACTTTAAACAAAATACGTTCTTCAATAGTAATTCGAAGCTAACACTTATTTTAAGTAAAAAAACTATAAGCTGTTTGAATAATAATTTCTATATCAAAATCAATTTACAATTTTTTTATTAAAATAAAAAACATCCAAATCATAAATATAATAACAACCCCTAACGTCTTTGTTGCCGATATTATTTATTATTATCATCAACGAATAATGTAAAATATCTTCGTAAGCAATATTCATTAAGTAAATAACAAATAAAACACCAACACATGTGCACGAATATGTCGATACTGTATTAAGATTAGTGATTTATAATAAAAAATAACTTATACATATATTAGGGTATATATCTACTTTTAAATATATACTAATATACCTTCATTTAAGTAAAAATAAATTGTATTATTGTTTAATATTAGATAAGTATATCTGCAATAAAATGATGATTTTTAATAAGTAAATGCAACATAGCTTTGCTGGTTACAAGAATATTTAGAAATATATTTATTTTCCTCTACGACCCTACATAGTAAGAACTTCTTCCTTCCGCCTTCGAAGATATCTACTAAATTAATAAAGCCGATCTCTAACGCATATACCTTCTACGTAACAGTTTTTATTTGGACTCACTTTTCAATTATCTCTTGTGCACTATCCTCGTCTTCGGACATGTCATCTTCTGTGTCCAGAATCCTTATTAATGACGTCATTGGCTTTTCGTCATAGTCAACTATACCAGAGTCGAAAGACATTTGTCTAATTATCGAGAGATCCGCGTCTTCTATTGCACTGAATGAGACTGAATATCGTTGATTGTCGTCTTCCATTGTGTTGTTAATTTTCCCTTCTATAAGATTATGAATACAGGCTGCGTCTATTTCAGAGCACTTTTGTAGTTACCATTTATTTATTAAGCGTTTGGTATAAGATAAATCAAATTCCTCTTATTCGTAGTTGTCTTACGTAGAACACAACGTGTAAAGATTAATTCTACACTGAGCCAAAGACTAACATTAGTAGCATTGTGGACCGTGCTCTCTTCTTTTGCTGTATTAACGAGTTACATCAATTGAAATTGAGAAATTGCAACATTATATCCTATAGAGACGACGCAACATATTGTCATTTACTCACTTACTCCTATTAATGTGTTATAACACCGCTACTGTTCTGTCTGTGAGTTCGACATACCATCAAATAAAATGATAGAAATGAATAATTCGAATTAACATGCAATATAATACAACCTACTTTGCGAAACAGGCAAAAATATACTTGGCGAAATCGGCACTCTACAAAAGAATTGACAACCACCTTTACACCATTTTGAAGTTATATTTATAGTGCAGTACACAAATCCCGCCTAAGGTCATAAAACCGGCATTATTGTTGCCACCGAAATGAAATAGTTTTTGGGTCCAGTTATGTGATGTTGCCTCGACGGACTGAATCTGTATATCAGAAAAAATGTTTACAATGCGATCTCTAGAGATCGATTCAATTTCATGATGTCGCATTTGCATTGCTGTGATAATACACAGATTCGCTCGTGAAATGACAAGTTTTCGAAGTTGAGTCCTGTGATCAACAACACAAGATCATCGATGTCAAGACTACAAAAGTTGGTAAACCATTTTTTGACGCTGTTGCATAAAGTGTAAGTAATCTGAGAAGGGCGAATTTCTAAACTCCGATGATAACATTAATGAATATAGGACTATGACGTGTAACTTACTTAAGGATGTTAAAATATGACTCTAATGGAACTATTTCTGTAAAACTTCAATTTGATGGGGATTTCATAGATCTGCTTCACCGACCGAAACGACGGCGTTTGGAGGATTGGCTCACAAAGTATCAAAACAAACTGAATATAAGTGCCAGCAATTGGAAGTATCTACAAGAGTTAAAGTTTGCTCTGCAACGAGATGTTCTCAAATTATATGACGTGCTGCCACATGTTAATAAAATTTTATAATACAATTTAATTATATTATTGTTTCATTATTATTTCAATTTTCACCAAGAAGCTTCAAAATCTCGGTTTTCCGCTCCGGCGGAGACGTCTCGCGTACGCACGTTGACCCCTCGACGTGATTACGCTTCTGTTGCCGCTGCTACCCGACTCATTGCTCCACAGCCACAACACAGGCAACCAACGAAGGGGAAAAAAAAGAAATAGAAACTCATCTCTGGAGCCGTGTGGTCAGTACCACCGAGACGAGTAAACCAGTGCGACGAGGATGGTTTCAAAAATGTGGAAAAAAAAGAAATACACCAGCCGTAACCTTATAACCAATATGTAAATATGTCGTCCAGAAGTACCGACGACGTTGCTATACGTGTCACGACTTCCTTAGGTACTCCACAAAGTCTGCGGATATTGTGGAATACATGCGGCTGAAAGCTACTGCTGCCCTGATTGTCGAACAGTTGGAGTCCCGCCACAAAGTGAATAAAATTCATTTGTGGTGAGAGTACCAACTCTACATCTGTCAGTACAAGTCTACAAGTGTCTGAAGGGTGTCATGTACCGACGTTTCCTCACACGTCGCGGTCCTTACGTGTAAATAAGTAAAAAAAATGTTATTACATTATTATGTATTAACCTGATTGTAAATAAATTAATAAAAAAAATATGTAATATTTATATAATATAATGTAATATATCATATTAATTCACAAGTGTAGATTTTTATATTGAAGTAATATCCCGCAAGACACATTCTTATTAAAACTAAAGCAAACAGATTGGGGATGTTGAAGTAATGTAAATTATTAATTAAATTAAAACCAAAGTTATCACTAAAAGTTAAAATTAGACGTAAATAAAATTTTGTCTTCTATTGTAAAGTTGAACCAATGTAGTATACCAGGTTATTGCCTGTTAATCGTCGATATGATATTTCGTCTTGGACAGGTGCGGTAAAAACCGATATGTTGTAATTCGAGAGAGCTTAAAGACTAATATTTAAAGTATGTGTCTCTAAGCTCTGTTCATACCCTACGCTTAATTATTCCACGGTGTTGAAGCAATTTCAGTCAGGAAATGAAAAAAATATATTTTATATACACTTTGTAAAGACTACATGGGCAATTAAATTTGAATCCTGAACATTCCAACGCACACAAGAGGAATTACATGACTACCATACAAAATTATTATATTATTACTCAGTTTTATCTTTCAAGAACCTAGACTATATTTTTTAATAAATCGCTTACGGTACCTAGAGAATATGGTAAGAAGAAAATGTAGAGATACTATTTCCACTTGGTTGTATACTTAAAGGTACGATAAAATGGGGAACTTCTAATCATAATATCTTAAAGGCTTAACGGTACGCACGCACGCACACTCACACACACACACATACACACACACACTCTTCATCTCTCCCTCATTCACTCACACACAACACAACGAAAATACTAACTTTTTAAATTACTGTCTAATCACAATATATAAATAACTTGTTCAACCAAGATTTAGCGACCAGGAGGTCTAAAATACGGGGCTCTCTTAGCTTAGGCTATCACAAATCTATAAACTATAAATATTTAAGAGTTGCTGTGTTAGTTTTTAATAATTTTTTTTGTGGTAGAAAATATACAATTATTTAAAAAAAAATCTAGGCCTGACCCACTACACTTTTTGTTGGTATGTAAAATCAACTTTTTTCTTAAAGTGCTATCGAAGTTCACTATAACAAAACACAGTACACAGAATTTTAAAATCGTTTGCTACCCAGAAATCGATTTGGGTTAGTAGTGCCGACAGGCAGCACGTCAGGCGAACAACTGGGGCTGGGGCCCACGCTGTAGCTCCCTCGATCTAACGCATACGTCACTATTCAGTTACTATATAAAGCAATTACGTGTATGTGATCTTAAAATTAATGGCTTTTCTCATCGCACTGAAATGCTTAAGTTGTAAATCGCAAAGTTAAAGAAAAATACATTTTAATATTAACATCAAACGTCATAAGTGATAGTAAGTTTGATTTTAAACAAGAAACAAACCACTACCTACATTAAATTTTATATATTACTGATATAATATTGTGCGCGTATAAAATAAAATGCATTAACAGATTTTTTAAATTACTCACGCTGTATATAATAGTGCACACAAGTTCATTGTTCAAACAAAGCGCAAGTTTTTGTTGCACCTTCGACTTCTACGCGATTGAAAATTGCCTACGAAAAAAGCGATGACAAAACAGTCTCGTTTCGCTTGAATATAAAGTTTTCGAACTTTCTAACGTAATAAGTCAAATACTATTCATTACGAATAGTCAGGTAGATACTATAACAAGAATTCTACTAATAAGATGCGTTTTTAAAATAGTTTGCGCTCGTCTCTTATAGGTTATTATAATAACAGTCTTCAAGTATACAAAGAGTCTATTTTTAATACATGTTGGTGCCGTAGCTAAGTGCTTAAAAACTTACGGGAAAAAATGTTTTCACTAGACTTTTCCGAATATATGTATAATTTTAACACAGCGGTGGTTGTTCGATTTACCACATGGGATACCGGGTTAGTAGGTTGCTATCCTAAATAAATTTACATGTGTCGAATCCACGTACTATTTCTGTTTCGTGCGCCACCGAAATGGTGCGACGACCTTACTGATATATACGTACTGTCGTTTGCATTAATACGTAAACATTTAGTGGAATTACCATCAACAAATTTTCATAAACATATGTTAAATTGTTATAACATTTTACGTTTTAAACGATCAACATGTATAATTGTATATGTAATATATACAATTATTTCTATGCTAAATTTTCATGAGCGCAGTTTGCGCATTGAGAGAACGGTTGCTTCTAAATTGACAGGTAGAAGTTTCGAATCTCCGTGGTGTTGTGTCTAGGACTTTTTCACACCTTTTTCTACAATGAGCTAGGGTGGGGTACTATGGCCTTAACTTTCCCTTAGACTTTTGTAGCTCATATATCACCCAACCCCAATACAGCGTTATGTATAAAGAGTGAAAGATGAATAATACAAATATATATACATATATACACACACACACACACACACACACACACACATATATATATATATATATATATATATATATCCTGTGACTCCTGTGGACCCTCTGCGTGGAATTGCAGTGACTGTCACTCATAATTTTTATCAGACAGTTTTGCAAAGCAATCCATTGGGATGATTTATTTTTATTTTACTTAATATTTTTGATGATTTGCATAATTTGAACAATAAAGTTTCAAAAGTTGTAGTATCACATTCACTTAATTTATTAATTGAATTACCGGTAAATCATTTTTACAAAATAAAAGTTTTGGTACACCATCAACCAAAACCTACATGGGTATAACAATAACACCACAGATGATAGTAGTAGTAGAGCTCCTTGTGAAAGTATTCGTCCTGGGATTATTGCCACCTTACCGATTTCTACCGCCATGCAGTAATGTGACCAGTAGTGCGTTCCAGTTTTGAAGGGTAAGGGTGCTGGTCATAAGTTGATAAGTCCCATGTAATTGCACATGGGACTTCTCAACTTATGTCTCAGGGTGCTGGGCGTGGCAGCAGAGCCCCTCAGTTCTTTGCGATTCAAAGTTCGGAGTGGCACTGCAACTACTACGTACAGGCGTGTCGCTTACTACCAGGCGCACGACTTAACTTTGCCTAAAAAGCAAGTACCTATAGTGCCGTTATATATATTTTGTTATGTATATAAAGATTGTAAATGAAAAGATTTTATAACAATTTTTACTATGTTATTATTTGCTTGTTCACAACGTATCCAGAAGTAAAATTGCGCCTTGTTTTTACTAGCGTGTGGGGGACTTTTAAACATCCTTTTTAAAGGAGAGGATACGGAAACCGGAAGATCACAACTAGGGGGACTGCGCAATATTATGAACCACTATTTCTATCCATATTTTTATTGTTAATGGTACTCAAGGATAAAAACGACATCAAAACAACAACGATGATATAAACTGGTATATTACATTTGCGTGTTATTAAGCCTGCGTTTAAGCTGTATAAAATATCTATATATATATATATATATATATATATATATATATATATATATATATCCCTTTCGGACCCGAATAAATTTTCAAACGGAACTCTTCTACTTATCTGGACAGGGGCGTTCGTCACACGACTGGGCGTTAGACGAATTTTTTGACCTTTTATTATTTAAAATTTGTGCATCGAATATTCGCTGTGCGAGCACCAACTCATCAGTTCGAACATACTAAATCTATGGTTCGAACCACAGACATATATATAGTCTGTGGTTCGGACCATGTTTGTAAAGATTTTTGTGGTCCTACCTTTTTGATTTTTGTATTTTATTTATGCTTTTTTGTTCGGAATACTGCTTTGTAACAGCTAAACATAACAAAAAATACATTAATGATTTTGCTGCGATTAAGTCCAAAACATCATGCTTAAAACTATGTCATGTAACTAGCAAAAAAATATTAGTGATTTATTAAAAAAATATTGGCGGGCACAGACATATTTAGAATGAGGTCAGTGATGAAGACTATTGAGACACCCGAAATCAAAAGTCTCCGAAACCTCGTGATGCTGAGGGGTGCTCGTCCTCAGAAATAGAAGTCGAATCTCTAGACGACGTACCTCCGAGAACGCTTGTCATGTTATACAGGGCCGAAGTTAATATTTGTTGCCTTGTTAATTGTTGTTAATTGTGCGGCTCAAAATTTTATAATATTATAAATGGAAAATTGAAACAATGCGACAAAAGCATTAATATTAGTAATTAATAAAAAAAAATGATATTAAACACGCCGCCTAGCCTTATGAGTTGCAGTGCCATTCAGGTGAGAGTTAGAATGGCGGGTGTACCTTAACGGATCCTAAAAATGTGGTATCAAAAAAATGGACATAAATTGTACTATTTAGTACCTCTGTTTAAAAAAATTGTACCACCATCAGAACGAAATTATAGCAATATCAAACGTACGCCCGCAGTATTGACAATATGTAACTATAAAAACTTATTATTCCAAAAATGAGTACCTTAATAGTACACTAAAGTAAAAGAAACTGCAGCTCGAACTGCTGGTTAGTTTCTGAGATATAAAGCTAAAATTGTGCGATTTTTGAGTGTCGTGTATATCTTAACGAATCCTGACAAATTTGGTACCAAAAAAATGTACATAAATTGTACTATTTAGTACCTATTCTTAAAAAATGGTAGCGAAATTATAGCGCAATCAAAATTGTAAATATTTTCGTATCGTAACTTTTTTAATACCTTTCGACCATTTGTTTGGGTAGGCAAAGGTTCCACCATAAAGCCTCTTTATATGTCAGTATCTTTCCTTGTTTTGATTGAAAAGATTACAAGCGCGTGTCGTTAATACAGTTTATTTCAGAGCTTTAAATCGCGAAAATCTGCGAGGCACAGCCACTACGGCCCGTCACACTGGGACATAAATTGAAAGTCTTTTAAGAAAATTCACCAAAACCCTTACCTTTCAAAGGCAGAACGCAGTAATGCTTGGTGGCAGAAATCGGTGTTACGGTGGCAGTACTTCCCTGGACGAACTCTTTCACAAGGAGTTTTACTGCTGCTTACATTCGGATTTTAGGTGTGATAGGGTTAGAATCTTGACTAGGGTTGTATTTTAAATCTTCTCCTCGGAGGAGATCCGGGGCCTGGAATTCGTGGAACTATAGAGTATGTAAAATTACGATGGTACCTGTCCTGTAGTCCTTCCAGCTCCTCATCCTGCTCGCCAAGAGTCGAGTCCAAGTCAAGGTAGGGCCCGTAGTCACCGTCCTTGAACACCTGCAGTGTCGCATCGTCCAGCTGCAACAAAAACGTGGTTTTCAATTATGACAAACTTGGATGTCTCGTAGGTATAGCGACATGGTGGTTTGAGTTTTATTTAAGTGTCTAGTCTAGTTAAACGGGGGTTCCGTTACTGATTTTATTGTTTCTTAAGACGGCAACCTGGTTGACTATCGAGTGCAGTGAAATATCACCTAATACTAAAGAAGAGAGACCTCACCCAGTAACGGAACGTCTCTGGGTGCATTGCGGATGATAAAGGTCGAACCCATAACTTCAACCACAATGCACCATACTCTAGGAAAAGACCGCTTCTAAATTGGTCGTTTTGGGTAGTATTATCGTGTATCACTAATCTGTTGATCCTATTAGTTTCAGATCAAGTATTTAGTGATTGTCTGACGAATTTTGTTTCATTATCTGTAAAAAATAACCAATTTTTACAAAAGACTCAAGACTAAGTGGTTGCAAGAAAAATATCCAAACATGGAAGACGATTACCTAGTAGTCTGTCATTAATAGAGGCCCATATCTAGGTCAAAATATAGGTAAAAATGTGACTTTGTACATATTTAAGGTGTGTAGGTAAATAGATTTAAATGTTGTGTATGAATATGAAACTTGACCTACTTAGGATATTCGACAAAACGTCTACTTACAATTTAATTTTCTAATCCAATAGCTACGTGTAGAGTTTTAATACAAATATTTGTAACAAATATACCTATTACCTTACTGTACTTATATGGGTGTCAAGGAAAAGCTGAACCAAATCAGTTTGTTTAAAATCTAAACTTTCCAGTAATATTCGCTCTACACTATTGCTCAATGTTTAACCATGGTTTAATCCGGTTCATAAAATAAAACGAAGATTTCAATACTTTGATGAAAATCTTCTTTAAAAGTAGTTTACATAAAGCATCCATTACGCCAAGCATAAATTATTACTGTTTTAAAAATTCCGCGTTTGTTTTTCAATTTACTTACAAAACATTATAATAGATAACTTATCCTACGCATGTCTATTTATTAGACCATAGAATTCATCATTTTAAATTTATCATTTGTCTGATAAAAGTTTAAATTATGAAAGAAAGCAATATATTATTACTTATTACAGACAATGCGTAACAATGTGAAACAGAAAATATGGAGATTTTAGTTTCATATCGCGAAGCGCCATCTATGCGCTCTTAGTTGAACTATTACTAAAGTCCTACCAACATACACATTCGCGTGTGGTTCTTTTCGCAGTATAGCAACTACCATATAATATTTCAGAAAAGATCGAAAGATGGCGCAGAGTATGTTATTGCTTGTTTTATAAGTATATTTTTCTTCTTATGTCTTCTCATCTTCGTCATGAGACTCGAATCTTGCAATGAGACGTATAATCGTTGATATAGTAGTGTAAAATCGACTAGCAACTTTTCGAATCACGTGGATGTAAGTTACACGCAAGTTTACAGCGCTATATTTCAGGCAGATTGATTTATTTATTGTTAATGTGGCGTGGTATGGTGAATATGGCTTAGAAAAATTGGCGTACATGATGGGCTTATGTTGAACGCACGTGGGTTCCCTTCACACGTGTCTGAACTGTGTTGGCGCATCGCCAGCGTGCTGCATGTAAACTGGAGCGGGCTTCAAAATAGTCTTGTCTCTCATAGCCCTGCTGAACTGGACAAAATTTGGAAACATCGCGGAGAAAATTCTTTGGAACCATTGCATAATAAATAATTTATAAACAAAAGGAGATATGTTGTAGAATTTTGCAAAACCTATAAACGTTATAATAAAATTTTAACTAAAATATTAGATATTGTGAAAAATAGCATACGCATATCGGTTTTACTTCAATTACCAACTAGTTGCTTATTAGAAACTAGGAATAGTTCCATCATATTATATATAGCTCCAACTTTAATATCTTGTCGCGAAATTCATCTGTATTATGAGACGAGTCGACTCACTTTGAGTCAGAGACTGTGTGAGTCACAGACCATATAAGTGTGAGCAAACCCTGTTGTGTTATCATCTTACAAACTGGGTTTTACATATCACAGTACCTATTACATACTTAAAATAAATCGATTAATGAAGACACAGTAAAGACATACGTTTAAAAAATAATATATGGAAGCGAAGTGTGAACGTGTATTGTAAATATACCATTTTATATGGAATGTGTTAATATAACTTGTTAAGTTCCACATTAGTCTATTATTGTACTACAAATCAGGATATTTATAAAATTGAAGAAATTGTTACAATCCTCACGATAATTAACTAATTACATGCGTTTATTTACTATTGATATCCTGAGTCATGAGCATCTACTTAAAATAATAAAATGTACTCCATAATAGCTAATTAAAAGCGTTATAAAAAGGCATAGAGGGGTGCTGGTCCAGGACAAGAGTGTACTAACCGATCAATATGTACAAAGCACTGACGCGCGTTTATAAGGCGATATATGGGTGCCAGGATTCCTAGTGATTCGGAAGCTATTGCCTGGGTCGACACCAATTCGAAAAAGGCGTGAAGTATATGTATATTAACCCATTTGTAAGTGGCAGACCGGTATAAGAAAAGCAGCCTTCTTCTAAATCTATTCACTACCGGCTTTTGATGACATCCACGGAAAATGTCGGGGTGATCCTATTCATGCCGTAAGCCCAACAGCTTAAAAAATGATTATCCAAATAGTTAAGAAAACACGTCAATATTTGAACAGGGAAACCTTGACCCAACGTCGTAAATAGGTACAATCCAATGCCCATACATCGAAGAACAGGCTTAAAAATAGAGTATGAGCAAATCACAAGAAGAAATACGTGTATTAAGTAAACATTCCATCAAAATAACCACTCTTGCTTTGAAACTTTTAGAGTTTTGTCCACTGTGAACATAAGTAACTTACCGAAGATATAACAATAATAATAAAATTAGCTGGCGCCCGAATACGTCTGTTTAAAATAAGTATTTCGACACTGTACTATACTAATTTTCATATATATTGGTTTTCCTTATAAACTTTCACCCCCTAACTCCTAACTAAGATTTATTTATAAGACAAAAAGTGGCCTATGTCTTTCTTCTAGGTCCTATCTCTCTGTACCAAGATTCATGAGAATTGGTTCAGCGGTTTAGGCGTGAAAACGTAAAGACGAGAGTTACTTTCACATTTATAATATTAGTTTAGACGTTAATATTTTTTTTTACAAAAAATAAGCGCGCATTTGACCCCCATCTCACTTGACGGCAAGTGACAATGAGGTTGAAATAATCTTGAAGGAGAAAATTATGACATCACAATGTCGCTATTAGTTCCTATAGTTATTTTTTTGGATAAGGTAATGTCACATTACTACAAAACTTCGCTTATAACAGTTTTATGTCAAAAGATTTTGTTTTACTGAGTTATTGTTGTGACCAAATATTAGTGTATCCTTACCAATGATATTATACTTGTACCCTTACACACAAAATATAATCATTGTAGCCCTTGGCCCCGTGGGTGTTAATAATTAAGACCCAGTGGCGGATTTGCCCTAAGGTCCAGTAGGCCCGGGCCTAGGGCGGCCAGATTTTAGGGGCGGACCCATGGCGGACAAGACAAAGAATTCACTGATGATGACATGAAATAACTCAAAGTACCTAAATATTCTCAAGCTCACGCACGTTACGGCGGGCCGCACTGTATAACAATAATCTTCCTAAATCACTTTCGTACAATTTAAGTATAATTCTTATTTTTTTAATAACGTACTCAACATAGCCCCGCACTAGGGATACCCTGTGTCGCGGGTGCCATGGACACACATAGGCAACCACAAATTACACCCAAACTCACGAGAGAAATAAATGTAGGTCATACAAATATTTCTCCCGGCCCGGGAATCGAACCTGGGACCTGTGCGTGGCTGTCCGGCATGGTAACCGTTCGGCCACGGAGGCAGCTTAGATAATATGTTATATATCTAAGGCCTGGGGCCTAGGGCGGTCAAGACTGCATCCGCCACTGCTAAGACCATTCTCACACGGTGATGCCTATTGTAGTATTCCACGTGAGTGTGATATCTGTTTCACACTATGAGCGGTTATATACAAACCTTAGAGGATGGAACACATACAAATATTATATGTATTATTTTCAATTCCACCGAATTGCCAAAATAAGTACTTATTTATTATTGCAAAAGAATTTCCAAAGTGATCGTCCACATAACTATTAGATTACTTAAGTCATTTGTAAATAAAAACAATATTCTACATAAGTGGGTACTCAGTCATTTCATTACAGATTGTTTGGTAAACAAAAATTTAAAAACAAAACAATTAACGTACAATAGTGATTTTAAATAAGCCTCGTTAAAAGTTAATGTTAGTAATTAATTCTTTCGAAAATAAAGTACTTACAAATGTTTACAATGAACAATTTGTTTTTACAAAATAAAATACAAAAATGATGACTGATGATGAGGAATGTTCTGGAACCTTACTGTAACAATTTATAAATTAATAAAAAATATTATAAATGTTGTCGCATAGAAATTCTATTCTCTAACCCAGTAAAGTTTTATACCAAGAATTCAGCGTGCTCATTATGGCAAAAAGTTACCATCTTTTATATTTCGTAAAGCTTCCTTGCGAATTCTATGGCCCTGTTCATAGTTCTGATGTACTCCTCAGCATTATTATTACTCACTTTTGCTCGAAAGTTTAAGTTTTACTTTAATGATCATAAAATCATTGTTTCACTCGCATCCATTTGTCTATAACAAAATTTCCTAAGCAAGCGACGATAAGATTCTGTCTTATCGTATCTTATGAAGCTAAACATAAAGAATATAATCGGTTTTCGTTCTTGAACTATGAACGCACCGTAGAATATTTGCTCGAAAAGTTATTCATATGCATCTTTATTAATGATTTATTTTTCATTGCCTTACATTTACATATTTTTCTGTATTTATAAATTATAAAACAAAATACAAATCACATTAATGAAGATG